GAGTAAATAAAAATGTGCAGAGTGGTAATACGTGGGATAATATGAAGTGGAGGTGTTCAATGGGAAACCATAACGTATTTTCCTGCAGTAACGTGAGAATGTGAAGAGTGGTAATACATGGGATAATACGAAGTGGAGGTGTTCAATGGGAAAGCATAACGTATTTTCCTGCAGTAACGTGAGAAACTGCACTGGGGAAATAAAAGCAGCCAATACCTTTTTTAAAAAAACCCTGAAATATTTAATGCTTTATAAATGTCAACAGTGTTTCAATGTATTTTTCATATGAACCACTGCTGGTGGATGATGGAGGATATTCCCTCGGTCAGCAAAGACCACAAAATGACAAAAGGAATTGCTTTACACTTGAATTTTTCTCACCTAATCACCACAACACGGAGTGACTGCTTTTATGGGTGATTTTCAGCAGCCTGTGATTTTTCAGTGCTGTCTGGATAGTTCAGTGGTTTTAAGGCAGAGGTTGGGAGTTCGATTCCCCCCTTCAGCTTCTTTGGCAGAGGTTGGACTCCATGAACCACGGGGTCCCTTTTCGGCCCTGACATTCTCAAGCAGTCTAAGATTTCCGGGATGTGGACTTCAAACCCCCAGCTCCAGAAAGCGGATTCCATGGGATTTATGAGATTTAAGGCGGTTGAGCGAAATGTTTGCTTTGCTTCGGAATGTGCTAGATGATAATGGTGTGGTTTAGAGAACTGCAGAATATCCCACGTGTGCTCATCAGTGTCAATGAAATATTCATGTGGACCTTCAACAAAATGAATTTGCCTGCCCCCCAGATCTGTGCTTGACAGCAGCTTTAAGTAAGATCTACTGTTTTTATCCGTGTGTGTGTGTGTGTCTTCTCTGACATGCCTGAGGTCGTTACTGATCTAACGATCCTAAGAACTGGCAACATTCTATAGATAAATGAAGCTGCCCCTTTGGCTGATTCATTATTAATGTCATATGAAGATGTTCCAATAGCTTTTCACAGTGATCAGAATTAGGATGATGGTCTTTTGAGAACAGTACGACAGTGTGAAGACCCCCCCCCAACTTTACACAACTGGTAGAAGGTGAGACCCTCACCAGTTTGGGAATCCTGTTACGCAGCTCAGTGGGCGTAACGATGATGATGTCATAATTAGCAGCTGATTGCTGCTGATTTCAGGCATGTTGCTGCTGATTAATGGCGATTTCAGGCTACCTCTGACTTGCACACACTCTGACAAAGTGGCATGCACCCTTAATTGTGACAGCAAAAATTTTGACAAGCTGTAATTTGCCCCTGGTGATGATGTCACCACTGCTATGTATGAGGAGCTTTGCAACAGGATTCCAGCCAATATCAGCATTGACCTGTGATAAGTTTCTAGTCCCTTGTGGCTGAAAATGAGGGGAAGCCAATAATGCATGAGTGGGTGACATGAGAGAGAGAGACTGATAGAAGTATGCATGTTATGGGGAAAGAGAGAGAGAATTGAGTGAGAGAGGACATATTCAGGGATGTCTCTATATGGTTTCTTTCTGCCATTTCTCTCTGACCAGGGTTAGAAGGCCTGCTGTGCTTTTTCCTTCTTAGCACGCTTTATGTTTACAGGGAAGATGAGTGACCGTCTTTGCCTTCTTTTATTATTGCAGCAAAAACAGACGTACCACGAACCAATACATTCAAGGGAAGAAGCATGAATCTTTAATATGCGTAAACACCAGAAAAGGAAAGACTATTAAAAAAAGAAAGGGAGAAAAAAGAGGGGGAAAGAGATTTTAAAAAATTAAATTAAAACCCTCCTCTACTCGCTGCCTTGCAAATCTGATTATAATTTCACTAGAAATGAGGCAAAGGTAATAAATTCATAACCCTATAAATGCTTCCTTGGACAGCTGTCTTGGTGAACTCAGTGGGATTTGCTCCCAAGTAAACAGACCCAGGGCTATGCAGGAGCATAAAAAATAAAATGGGGAAAGGTATAATGCTGTGACAGGGTTTAACAAGTGATAACAGGATTCAAATTTTGCAGGCTGGTTACAGAATGCGTTAAATGCAAAACTTTAAGGAATGACCCACATTGTTGTTTCTTAGTGCTGTAGTTTAGCCATGCCTCCAACTTCTTAAGAAATCCGATCACAAGCAAGGCTCACAGGGGAAGGGAGAGGAGCTCAAAGGCTCTGCACAACCGCAACCTATTTCTACGCATGACTCCTTCAAAGTAAATCACAGTGGCTCTTATTTCTAAGCAAAAGAGCATTCCGTGGCATAGTTTTGAATTTTTGGTAAAATTCTCTTTTGTTGCCATACTGTAGAAATACAGAGACCCACCAAGAAGAATAGCTCCAAATTCCCCAAGTAGTCCACCCCTTTCTCATTGACTGGCACTTAATAACTCACTTTGAGTTGTTTGTAGGAGAAAGAATAAAAAAATCTTTACTTACAGTTGGTTGAAATTACAGATTTACATAGGCACTTCTCCTTTCAACAATGCGGGGGTTTGGGGCTCCAGACCCCCAGTTTGTTCTCTCTCTCTCTGTTCTCTATTAGGGTTCTCTTCCATAATGTTGGCAACCCTTTCAAGACAGAACTGTGTGTAATGAGTCCTAAATGTCTTTATGACCCCCTGATCTAGAGGCTGAATCTGAGATGTTGTGTTTGGAGGCATATAGACCACTTTGATGCCTTTGGTGTTGAACTCATGCCCTTGTTTCTGAATTTACTGAATATTGATTGATTGAATGAAAAAAATCTCTATATAAAAATCCATACAGAATTAGACCCATGCAATTTAAAGAGAGAAGTGTACTGCTTTCTTTATTGCACACATACTAGCAACCAACTGAACAGATCAACAGCAACAACTGCCACCAGCTGATGAAAGGGAGGGACAGAATACACAGCAGAGAGTTCTCTTTGAATTTTGAAAGCTGGAAAGGATAATTGGTTAGTGCTGGACAGACAGACAATCGCCCCAGGCCAGAAAAAGTCCCTCCTAGTCACTCAAACGACAGGCAGCATGCGAGGTTGCAAAGAAGACTCCAACACATTCTGAGCTGGCTTCCCCAATAAACAATGTGGATGTCTTCATGAGCCTCAAGCACAGCTAAAATCTATGCGTTAAAAAAAAAAGATGTTTGACTTGCATTGATTTTGGTATCCCAGTGAATTAAAAAAAATACAGCCAGGAAAAAAAAAACTCTTACAGCTCAGTTTTACATCCATGGGTGTCCATGGCATGGGACAAGGTCTGCTTGCTCTCCCAAAATTCTAAATTTATGATTATTTTGCTTTATGCTGGCTCAGTGTTAAAACTGCACCCAGATGTGTGCAGTAATTCTGCTATGGAGCTTTATCTGCCTCACCCTGCAGGCAGTCTTGAACACACAGAAGACCCATCTGTATGCTTTGAAGGCTTACTTACAAGTAAGTGACTTTGAACGGCAATCTTCCAATATTGACTCCACTCTACCGTGGAAGACTTTCAAGGCTGGAGATTTGCAACCCTCTATAAATTTCCCAGCAGCCTCGAGATAACCTTGGACTATGGTGCCCATCCTTCACAGTCAGCACAATGGGAATTTTTGTTCAATATCACAGGAGTATGGACTGGCATCGACGGAAACGTTGAGCCTGTGGATACGCTCTTTGTTCCTGGTGAGTATCCCTTGCCTTTTTGGCTAAATTTATATTGAGAGCAATGCTTTCCCACGTCAGCTTCTTGAGAGTTCAGTGGTCTTCACCAGGCACAGTGTTTTTAAAAAAACAGACTTGGGGGTGGGGCAACATCCTTGGATGTTGGCTCCCTGAAGTCTGTATAGTTAGAACTTTCACACGAAATAGAGAATCTCGTCCCCCAGTGCCTCAAATTCCTTGAGAAGCAGATCATCCCTGCTTCTTGGGGGTGAAAGCAAATCCCACTGTGTTTGAGAACACCCATTGGACTCTTCCAAGGATCACTGGGGTTCACAGAACTGTTGAGTTGGAAGGAAACTCAAAGGCCATCTAGTCCCACCCCTTGATGGTACAGCTAAAGTATCTCTGACATTTTCGGGACAACAGTATCTCAACCTGAAAAAAGAGAGACCTAGATTCCCCCATT